AGAGCGGTACACTGTTAGAGTTAAATGAATGTCATGGGTAGGAATTGCTTTAGGGCCTTGGATGACCCACTCTAGGCTTTGGGGAAGAGATAATTAGGCCATCCTCTCAGAGAAGAGGGGAGACAAAACAAAGAGATAAGGGGGACGGGGAATCATTGTATTTGAGAGCAAAATGGAAGAACTCTGCAATGAATAGTAATTTGTTTTTGTTCATGTTTTCATTGTGACTACTTTCAAGTGCCGGTATTCTGAACAAGATTAATTTTGAGTTGGGATGCCTGGGTGGCTCTGTCAGTTAAGCATCCAACTCTTGATCCCAGCTCAGGTCTTGATATTAGGGTCGTGAGTTCAAGCCCCGTGTTGGGGCGTTGGGGTCCACGCTGGACGGGGAGCCTACTTAAACAACAACAACAACAACAACAACAACAACCAAAAGAACCATTAATCTTGACTGAAGCACATTGTGAGGCTATTCATTGAACACCTGGAGCACACAGCTCATCCTTGGCATACATGGGCTGATTCTGTTAGGCCCCGTTAGGAATCATGGGAAATATAGTCATGGCTAGCCATAATGGAATTACCATGTATCCTGAGATTGTTCCTCCAGGTTAACCCCCTGCCAAATCTGTCCCGACCAAATCGGTGACCAACTATCATTGTTTGCAACAAAGGGCTTGTACTGATTGGCTTCATAGCTGGCCCTGATCCTTCTCAGATGAATAGATCCAGGAAGCCCATAAATTCTTCCATTTGAAAAATGTGGTAAGTTTTAAAATACCTTAGTTCCAGGCGGTTAGGTCCATCTAGTCCAGGTGGTGTTGATAAATCATAAGTTACATAAACTACAACAGGCAAATTGTTGCTGTTTCTGAGCTGCCAGGGTCCTGATGTGGTGCTTTGGGGTGTTCTACACTCAAGACACCTGCAATGACTTCATGTGGGAATACAAGCTGAAGTAAAACACAAAAATGAAAACAAAATGTAAGTGCAAACAGAGCACCTGAATGGAACTGTGTCTTCCTGAAGGGGACATCTAGTGCTTTTGTCTGAGCAGCATCCCTTCCCTTTCTATTAATAAATGAAAGTAGGGGCCTGGGTGGCTCAGTCCGTTAAGCCTCTGACTCTTGATTTTGGCTCAGCTCATGATCTCACGGTTCGTGGGTTAGAGCCCCATGTCGGGCTCTGTGCTGACAGCACAGGACCTGCTTGGGATTCTCTCTCTCCCTCTCTCTCTGCCTCTACGCAGCTCATGTGCACTCACTCTGTCAAAATAAATAAACTTTTAAAAATGTCTTTAAAAAATAATCATTGAAGGTAGTAGGATTCACTGTTCATTTGTGTAACAACCTCTTGCTCATTCCCTATAATCTTGTAGGCTTATCAATCAAGGGGCTTGCAGTCTCTCTCTCCAAGCTAAATTCTAGAAGGAATTTGAATTTTGATAGGAAGTACAAAGGACTAAAAGCAATTGGCATCAATGAGTCCAATGGCAGTGCCCTGGAAAAGACTCTCCCTGCATGCTATCCTGATGAACTTGCCTTTCCAGAGGCGTGAGAGGTGAAACCTTCCTTGGTACTCTACGCTATTCCATGTTTTTGTCACTTGCTATTCTTTAAAAATAAAAAAACAAAAACAAAAACAGAAAAACAAGCAAAAAACAAGAAGTTTAGCAAGACTGGTTTTTGTGGCTTTCAACCAATGAGGATTGGCATCTGCACTTTCTTTCCTCTGTTACAACTTCCGGCCACAGCGTGAGAGATGAGAAGTCTCACATTGAGAGGCATTGTGGAGGCAGGAGTAACATCACTGATACCTTGCAGGTGTTGATTTCAGGGCAATTGCTTTTAGGGACATCAAAGGTACACAAAGAAAGAACAAAAGGAAAGCAGTCTGTTCACAAAGGAAGAATCCCACCCCCAAAAAAAGACCCCACTCATGACAATTAAGAGTAAGATAGATCTCAGGGCGCCTGGGTGGCTTAGTCGGTTAAGCGTCTGACTTTCACTTAGGTCATGATCTCGAGGTTCATGGGTTTGAGCCCTACGTCGGGCTCTGTGCTGACTGCCAGCTCAGAGCCTGGAGCCTGTTTCAGAGTCTGTGACTCCCTCTCTCTCTGACTCTCCCCTGCTCACACTGTCTCTCTCTCTCTCTCTCTCTCTCTCTCTTTCCTAGAAATAAATAAAACATTAAAAAAATTTAAAAAAAAACAGAGTAAGATAGATCTCAACAGACATCATTAGGGATGCATTTGGGTGCACGCATCTCATGCCAAACACCTACAATTTTCAGTGTCACTTACCAAGAAGAAACCCATTTGTTCCCAGAAGTTTTGTGTCCAGCCTCTGAACTTGGGGGGTATTCTTGCTGCCGGTCCTTTCTGGGTCAGGTAACCAGAAGGAAAATAGCTATCCGACCCCTGCGCTGGAGTTCTGTGACCACTTTCCTCTTCCCATGGACTGACCACTCAAATGGCTTTTCAGTGTCAAATCTAGAAAGCCTCCAACCACAGACCATGGATTTGATATCACAATCACTAAAGGACCCGAGATTATAGGTCCTTTTATAATAAGAAAATTTATAATCCAGTCGTTTTTTAAAACCACAAACAAAATTCCTAGGATTTTTAAATATCAAATAATCCCATAAAATATGTGTTGCTAGTAATATCAAATGCAGTGCAGAGATGAGGAATCTTTTTTTTTAAAATATTTTTTATTTATTCCTAGGAGAGAGAGAGAGAGAGACAGCATGAGCAGGGGAGGGTCAGAGAGAGAGGGAAACACAGACTCCGAAATAGGCTCCAGGCTCTGAGCTGGCAGTCAGCACAGAGCCCGACGCGGGGCTCGAACCCACGAACCGCGAGATCATGACCCAAGCGAAAGTCGGACGCTCAACCGACTAAGCCACCCAGGCGCCCCGAGATGAGGAATCTTGAAGAAAAAAAACCCTCCACTGGATTTGATAAGAAAACAGCTTTAACAGAATGATGCGAACAGGGCATGTTTTTACGAGGGAAAGAAGGAAATGTGAGGATAGAAAATAGAGGTTTGGCAAAGAAAAGAAGAGGAAATACGGAAAAGTAGTTGGGAGAGTCAAGCAAAAATTCTTTTTGTTTTAAAGCTGCTGGGCATGCTATTTGTGCAGCCCCACAAGGCTCTGTACTTAGAAGGGCTCTGCACTTGGGGGACTCCTGGGGGGTTCAGTTGGTTGACTTCAGCTCAGGTCATGATCTCATGGTTCATGGGTTTGAGCCCCGCATTGGGCTCTGTGCTGACAGCTCGGAGCCTGGGGCCTTCTTTGGATTCTGTGTCTCCCTCTCTCTCTGCCCCTCCCCTCCTCGTGCTTTGTCTGTCTCAAAAATAAATAAACATTATTTTTTTTTTAAAGAAAGGCCCTGCACTTGGTTTAATCCCATAATTTCACTGTCTTGAAATTCTTACAATGTTTTGAACCAGGCCGCTGCATTTTCATTTTGCACTACGCTCTACAAATTATGAAAATGTTCAGAAAGGTATAACACACTGTGTTGCCTGATTGATGCCCCCAAAGATCGCCTAATCCCCAAGCCTGTGAGTGTGTTACCCTATTTGGCAAAAAGGACTTTGAAGAAGTGATTAAGAATTTTGAGGTCTGGCCCTCCCATACCCACCTGCGCAATTAACAAGCTATGTCTCCAGAAGAAAAAAAAAATTTTTTTTTGAGATGGGGAGACTACCCTGGATTCTCTGGGTGGGCCCCATGGAATCACAGGAGTCTTTCTCAGAGGGAGGCAGTAGATTTAGGGTCAGCAAGAGAAGGCACGTGACAATGGAAGTGGAGGGAGTGAAAATGTGACAGTGTGGTGCACAGTCATGAGCTAAGGAATGCAGGTGGTTTCTAGAAGCTGGAACGGGCGAGGAGACATATTGCCCCCTAAATGCTGTAGAAGAAATGCAGCCCAGCCGATCTAATTTGGAGTTCTGGTCTTCAGAAGTTTAAGCCGCTAAATTTATGCTAATTTGTTATACAAGCGTTGGGAAAGTAATACACACTACATAAATGTAAGGTGATGTATTAGTGATTCTCTAGAAATCAAGGCTATCAATAAAAGTAGTAGCAGCTATCATTTATTGAACACTTCCTTTATGCTAGGCACCATATTAAGCCCTTTATGTATGTAATCTTACGTAATCCTAGAACAATGTCCGAGGTGGGTAATTATTGTCTTCACTTACAGATGAACACATTGAGGCTCACAGAGGTTAAGTAAGTTGTCTAAAGCCACATAACAAACCAAGATGTTTTAGAGGTCGGAGCTGAACCCAGTCTGTATTACTTCGAATTCTGTGCGTTTAACCCCATTCCCTTACATTATTATAAACGACTGGGTGTGTTCCCATTCTTCAACGTGCGTGTCTCTCTCATCAGAGGAGAGGGAGTCGGCCGGGTAAGAGGGGATATCCACGTCCCGGGCGTATAAAAGAGGAGCCCACGCCACCTCTCCGAGTCGCAGGTGAAGGTGGCTTATTCTTATAAAGCACTGGCAGTAGATGTGAGTTTACAGAACACTGAATGAGACCAACAAAGTCGAAGATGCTGCACTGCTGCTTCCTAATTTGCTTAGGTAGCAGGCGGATCCCGGAGGTTCGCGGCTGTGCGGTGTTAGGCACCCGGAGCCGGGTTTCCAGGGGCAACTGCCCGGGGTGGGGGTGGGGGTGGGGGGGCGCGGCGACGGCAGCCGGCCGGGAGGAGGGCGGCCGGCCGGGAGGAGGGCTCCCGGCGCGCACCTCCTCTTGTTTTGGAGGCCCTCGTGGTCCTGCCTCATTGGCCGCCGCGGAGGCCCCGGGGAGGCGGAGCGGCCTCCGCAGTTGTAGTTCCCGGGTTCTCGCGGCCCCCTGCCCCGCCTTCCGGCGGGAGGCCCCCTCGCGGCCGCGCGAGACCACAACTCCCACAAGGCCCCGCGCTCGGAGGGGGCGTGGCCGGGGCGAAGGGGAAGCCGGGGGCGGGGCCGCCTAGGGGATGAAGTGGGGGCGCTCGGCTCTCCAGCCTGTCTCGCAGCTGCCGGGGAGCTGGGGAGAGCGGCACCCTCCTCGGGACGGGCGTGCAGATCTCTGACCCTGGAGCCTCTCAGCCCCCGGGAGCAGTCCCCGTGAGTCGTCGCCCGGGCCGCCCGCCGTTCCCCGGCCCCGAGGGGCCCGGCCGGCCGCGGTGGGGGGAGAGGTCAGCATGAGTCGGGGGTCCCGGCGGGCCGGCGCCGGGCAGGGGGCGGCGGCCGCAGTGCAGCTGCTGGTCACCCTGAGCTTCCTCCCGAGCGTCGTCGATGCCCAGGTGAGCCCGAGTGATGGCGAGGCGGGGACGCCGGCCGAACGCCCGCGGCGGCCGCGAACGGGCCGCGGCTGGGGCGCGGGCAGAGGGCCGGCGCGGGACCGCGAGGGGGGCTTCTGGAGGGCGGAAAGGGGTCCGAGGTCCGGAACCGAACCGTCACGTCCAGGAAACGTCCGCGAACCCGCGTGCCGTGTGCGGGGATGGCGACGCTCGCGAGGTGATGGCAGCAAAAAGAGGAAGATGGTGACGGTCCCCTGAGGTGTTTTCGTTTTCCTTTTCTGATTTTTTAAACGGCTGGGAGTGTGGCGGGAGAGGAGCTGGGAACGAGAACGTCATCAGCGGTTTGGGGGAGACAACACGCGTAGAAATGGTGAAGCCCTCCGCTTCAGCAGGGCGGGAGGGGCAGGTGGAGGGGAGGGGGACCGCGCGCCGCGCAGCAGTGGGGTGGGTGGGGAGGGGGACGGGACTTAGTAACTTCCTTGAACTTTTGGACTCGAGAGCCCCTCGGCTGCTACCCTTGCTCTGGCATCTTTGCTTGCTGGGACTGCTGTATTTTCACCCAACTTCTGGCATCTTCTGATGAGCCCAAGATAGAGACGGGGGGCGGGGGGGGGGGTCTGGGGTCTGGCCTTGGAGGTCTGTGAGCAGCGAGGTGGTGGCAGGAGGGCACACGAGTTGAGGGGCTGCCTTTGTGAAACATGTTAATACAAACGTGTTCTCAATGCGCTGGACATGGAAGGTTAGCTGCCACCAGCCTTTTGCCTGGAGAGCGGTGCCGGCTGCTTTTCTACAGAAGAATTTGAATAGACTGCCAGGTGCCGCCGCGCCTTGTCTGCACCTGCTGCAAAGTGGCAAAGCTGCTGAGAGAGATAGAGAGAGAGACGGTGTCTCAGGTGGCTCGATAATGAGGGGAAATGTCATTGCAGGCAATTAATACTCATTGCTGAGGAAAAACTGAAGCTGCGAGTGCGGCCACATAAACCTGTTTTTCTGACTTTATTATTCATACGCTGTTTTCAGGGCGTTAGGGTGTGCTGCGCTAAGTCCCAGAATGCCTGAGTATTCTATTTTCTTCATGTTTGGGTGTTTTTTTCAAATGAACGATGTGCTGAAAATGGGTGGCCGTGGGCTTGGTATTGGTGAGCATGTTAAAATGCAGATTCTCGGCCCCACTGCCACATGTTCTGATTTAGTGGATCTGGATGTGCCCCAGGGATCAGCGGTTTTAAACAAGCCATGTAAATAGCTGTAATGCAATTATCCTTTGAACTACCTTTTGAACCCCACCTAGAAAACACTGAAGTAGTGGAGATCTGGGCTTATCCACTATATTTCTAAGAAGTAAATCTCCCAAATTATCTTTAGCAAAATTCTTTTCTTTTTAATGTTTATTTATTTTTGAGAGAGAAAAAAAGAGCATGAGCAAGGGAGGGGAAGAGAGGGGGGCGGAGACACAGAAAGAAGCAGGCTCCAGGCTCAGAGCTGTCAGCAGGAGGTGGGGCTCGAACTCACAAACGTGAGATCATGACCTGAGCCAAAGTCCAGCACTTAACCGACTGAGCCACCCAAGTGCCCCACCAGAATTTTCTAATTACTGGTTGGGTGATTGTGTTTGAGTGGAATATACATTTAGATATTTTCTAAAATGAGATTCTTCTCATTTTTCCTTTTCATGCCGTATATTGTATATTTTGCCATCGATCTAGAAGCTTCATTTTAGTCTTCTTTATCTAGTAATTACATGTGTTAATGTTTTATAATTACATGTTACCCATGCCATTTAAGTACAATTTTAGTTTTATTGTATCCAAATAAATATATGTAATTTCATCATGTCCAAATGAATACCTGTAGTTTAAAAATTAAAGATTTGTACATATTCAAAGTAGTATTGTGCCAAACAGTCCTCAAAAGTGGGTACATTTGGTTTTTGTTTCCAGTGGTACATTCTAATAAAGGGTTGAAGCATAGTTTAGATAGTATTTTAATCTGTAACACGTTCAAATATACATTATCTCATTTTATGGTTACCTCTCAGAAGTGGGGATATTGAGGGGCGCCTGGGTGGCTCAGTCGGTTAAGTATAAGACTTCGGCTCAGGTCATGATCTCACGGTTTGTGGATTCGAGCCCTGCGTTAGGCTCTGTGCTGACAGCTCAGAGCCTGGAGCCTGCTTCAGGTTCTGTGTCCCCCCCCGCCCGCCCCCCCCCCTCACACTCTGTCTCTCTCTCTCTCTCAAAAATAAATAAAAGATTAAAAAAAAAGTGGGAATAATGAGGTAACTGAGGTTCAAAAAGCTTACATGACTAAAATCACACTTGTTCAGTAAGTGAACAAGGTTGGACTGGACCCCTCATAGGCCCTTTTGTCTTCTGCTCAGTACATCTCTTAGAGTATAGAAATCAGAGGGAGACCCAGGGAAATTAAAAAGTGGAACTAAGGTCTGTCTTATCTCTTACATATGCTAAATTGGGGGAAAAAAGCCCAATAAAGCATAAAGGGAAGAATTAGATTTTTATAAATACCTCCATTAAAGGAGGAATATATTGAATGTGTCTTTGCAATGAAAGCATAAGGTTGTTTTTGAACACTTTAAAATGATAGACATTTGTATATCACCTATCCCGTTTTTCTTATAAATTAAATGCAAATGTGTTTGTAGTCTGGAAAGCACTAGAAACTAAAGATGTAGTGCATACAAATGATATGACAAGTTAATCTTCCTGTAAAGAAGTAATTTTAGTCATGTATTTTTAAGTCTTTCTAAATGCATTTCTGAGGTGGCATGAAATCAAAGAATACATAGAGCTCCCCCACCCCCGGCCCCCAGTGGAAAGTCAGATTTTGAGACTGGAACAGTGCTGTTCAGTCCATTACCCTGAGGATTTCCCCCAAACCGTGAAGACCTTGCATTTCTGCTGTAATAGCGCCTGGGTGTGGAAGGGACAGGAAATACAGGCTGTGTGACCAGAGAGGAAACAAGAAGACTCCATCATCAGGAGAGAACTCCAAAGAGCTACACGCTCAATATGAGGAACAGATCATACCAGGAATAAGGGGAAAGTGAGAAACTTGCTAGGGAAGTGGCGGAGGGGGGACCTCTCTCGAGAATTTGTAACCATGAGGTTGTTCTTATAATGGTCTGCAGGCCAATATCATGTCACCTGTGCTGGGAAAATCTTCAAGTGGAAAATTTAGTTTGTAGCAGCCCCGGATTGGTATGCCCCCAGCTTCCTGGTAAAGGCAAGTATCCATCCCCTCTAGAGGAATTCATTGTCCCCCCCAGACCCTAAAGAAGTCTTGAAGAGACAGTGCCAAGGAAAATAAGCAGCTAATAACCAAAAACAAAAACAAAAAAACCCTCACAAAACACAAGGCACCATGATGAGGTACTAGAAATGTAGACTATAGAAAAAGACCTGAGGTAATCTTAGATTCTGAAAATATCAGATATAATTTAAATGCATGAGACATCTTGAATCATTTAAATTTACAAAGGGGTAGGGGACAAAGACAGAGACACTGACCTGAAACTATGCAAAGGGAACAAGAGATTTTAAAGAATGATCAAAAAGTTTAAAACATAGTGGGATAAGATTTCTAGAGATGAAATTAAAAACTCAACGGATGGATTAAATAGCTGATTATTTTCAGCAGAAGAAATGATTCCTGAATCATGCAACCATTTTATGGCTTTTTCTAACCCTCCAACACTTTTTCCTTTTTTTTTTTTTTTTTTAATGTTTGTCTGTCTGTCTGTCTGTCTCTCTCTCAAAAATAAACAGTCAGTGTGAGAGAGGGAGGGGCAGAGAGGGGGAGACACAGAATCTGAAGCAGGCTCCAGGCTCTGAGCTGTCAGCACAGAGCCCTCTGTGGGGCTTGAACTCACAGACTGTGAGATCGTGACCTGAGCTGAAGTCGGATACTTAACTGTCCAAGCCACCCAGGCGCCCCACTTTTCCTTTTCTTTGTGCATACCTCACTAACAAAATTGGAGTAATCAGTGTAATCCATATCTATTCACCCATTGGTCTCTGTACCCACACATTTTGACTTCCAATGGATTACCATAGATGGACTGTGAACTCTTATCAAAAGCCAGTCCTTCTCATGTATTAGGTACCAGTTCCTTCTTTCAAGGTTGTGTTTTGAGCAAGTCTTCTTTCTCTCCTAGATCATTAATTTTTCCTTGTCTGATGGGCTGTTATTGTCATCCTGCAACATTTCTGTTTTAAAGCTCTCTCTTGGCCCACCCATCTCTTCTGGCTCAGCTCCATTTTTCTGTTCCCTTTTATGGAAAGACTCCTCAAAGGAATTCTCTTTATTCCTCCTATTCTGGTCGTCTCTCCAGCCTACTGCAGTCAGATTTTTGCCCCCACCACTCCAAAACCGTTCTTGTCTCGGTCATTAATGTCTTCCTTGTCATTAAAGCCAGTAGGTTTTAAACCTTAGCTTTACCTATCGACAGCATTTTTTCCCAACGGCTCATAGCTTACTCTCCTTGAAATTCTTCATTTCTTTGGGCTTCCAGGGTACTGTAATTTCCTGATTTTCTTCCTTTCTTTCAGGCTAGCTGTTCTAGCATCCTTTGTTTCTCCTCTACTACTGACCACTAGTTCTTTCAGCCTCAAGTTTCAGATCTGAAACTCTTTCCCCTCTCTATTTTGGCTAGCTCATTTGGTTTCTTGGCTTTAAACACCACCTATATCCTATATAACTGATTGTCAAAATCTCCAGAACAGGATTCTCAGTTTTAGATCTGGGTATGTGGGGCACCTGGGTGGCTCATTCCGTTAAGCGTCCCTCTCTTGACCTTGGCTCAGGTCGTGATCTCATGGTTCATGGGATGGAGCCACTCATCAGGCTCTGTGCTGACAGTGTGGAGCCTGCTTGGGATTCTCTCTCTTTCTCTGTACCTCCCCTGCTGTTCCCTCTCTTTCAAAAATAAATAAATGTTAAAAAAAAAAAAACCTTGGAAATTTCCAGAATAATAAGAATGTCTTTTGTTGTTTATAATGAGCTCCTTTTAATATGCCTATTTATGCTAATCAAGTGCCTCAGTTGGGAACCCCTCGATCACCTCAGGGTGGTACTGGTCATCAGACACACCAAGTGATCAGAAGATTGGAACTTTTAGCCCCACCCATGACCAGTGAGATGGGGGGAGGGATGCTGGAGTTAGAGCTCTGTAAGAGCTCCTTGGGGCACCTGGGTGGCTCAGTTGGTTGAGCATCTGACTCCGGCTCAGGTCGTGATCTCACAGCTCATGAGTTTGAGCCCCGCATCGGGCTCTGTGCTGACAGCTCAGAGCCTGGAGCCTGCTTTGGTTTCTGTGTCTCCCTCTCTCTCTCTGCCCCTCTCCTGCTTATGCTATCTCTGTTCCTCTCTCAAAAATAAACATTAAAAAATAAATAAATAAATAAAGCTCTTACAACAAGATTGATGAGCTTCCAGGTAGGTGAAATGTAGACTTGCTGGGGAAGGAGGGTGGCTGAGAGGCACGGAAGCTCTAAGCTTGCCTTTCCCCACACTTCTTCCTATGCACCCATCTATTCCATTTGGCTCTTCCTGAGTCCTATTCCTAACAATAAACCAGTGGATATAAGTTAAGTGTTTTTCTGGGGCGCCTGGGTGGCTTAGTGGGTTAAGCGTCTGACTTTCACTTAGGTCATGATCTCACGGTTCGTGGGTTCGAGCCCCGGTCGGACTCTGTGCTGACTGCCAGCTCAGAGCCTGGAGCCTGTTTCAGGGTCTGTGACTCCCTCTCTCTCTGACCCTCCCCTGCTCACGCTGTCTCTCTCTCTCTCTCTCTCTCTCTCTCCCCTAGAAATAAATAAAACATTTAAAAAAAATTTTTTTTTAAAGTTAAGTGTTTTTCTGGTTCTATGCCCCGTTGCAAATTACTGAACTTGAGAGTCATTGGAACCCGCAGTTTATAGCAGGTCAGTCAGACATACAGGTGGCTTGGGACTTGGCAGTGATACCTAAAGTGGAAACAGTGCTGTGTGACTGAATCCCTAGTCTGTGAGGTCTGCCCTAACTCCAGATAGTATCAGAACTGGATTGGGTGCCGAGTCGTGTTGGAGAGGGGGAGAATTGGTTGGTGTGAGAAAACGCCAAGTTCCAGTAAAGGCCACAGTCTTAAAGTTGTCTCCTATTTCTCCTTTTTACATACTACGTAGTCGTTCTGGATCCTTCTGGAACTTCAGGGGAACATGCTGCCTCAGGGCCTTATATTTTGTATTCCAGTGCCTGGAATGCCTTCCCCTACTCCCCACATAGCTCGGTCTGTTCCTTTTCCCCCTTAAACTGTTGCCAGAATTTGCCATAATTTCACCGAGACCTTTTTAAATTATACTTTTTAAAATCATAGGAGCTCATTTCTGCACTGCCAGGCTCCATTCCCCAGTTTTCCTGTCCCTTTATTACCATATGAAAGACCCCGAACTTTGCCTATTCATTATTTTTCCCTTTCCTATGAAAATGTAAGCTCCTGGAGGGCAGAGACTTTTATTTTCCCCCTGTCTTTTACTTCTCCATCCCCAGCACTTAGAACAGTGCAAGGCTCAAGTTAGGTGGGTCCTCAAATATGTTGAATGAATAAATAAATGAATTGAAAATAAATGCAAAATCAGAATGAAGCCCAGAAAAATAATGGGATAGTAAATTTTAAAGAGAGCTTAAAAGATCTGGTCTAATTCATGTGACTGGAGTTCCAGAGGAATGTAATAGAATAGGGGAAAAAGCAGTATTGATTCCTGCATGTCAGTATGAAAATGACAACCCAGTAGAAAAATGAAAAAAAGGGGCACCTGGGTGGCTCAGTTGGTTAAGCGTCTGACTCTTGGTTTTGGCTCAGGTCATGATCCCACACTTTGTGGGTTCAAGCCCCGCATCGGGCTTCGTGCTGGCACTGCAGAGCCTGTTTGGGATTCTCTCTCTCTCCTTTTCTTTCTGCCCTGTTCTATCTTTCTCTCTCAAAATAAATAAGCTAAAAAAAAATCTTTTAAAAAAGAGATGAAAAAAAGACAAACAGGTACACTCAGGGAGAAACACAAATGTCTTAGAAAACAAAACATTATACCTCAGTACAAAAATCAGATACCCTTTCATACTTACTAGATTGGCAAAAATTAAAACAGTATCCAGTATTGGTAAGGATATAATTCAGCAGTAATTCCCATCTGCTGTTGGATAGGATTGTAAATTGGTAACCTATTTTGAAAATAAGCTATAGTAATTCCATTTTCAGCATATAAGCTGGAGAAATTCTTACAATAAGGAGATCATGAAAAATGTTTGTGTAGCATTATTTAGCTAAATCTGGAAACTGAACTATGGATAGTATTAGTTTCCTGTTGCTGCTCTAACAAATTACCATAAACTTAGTGTTTTAAAACAATATAAATTTAGGATCCTATCATGCCGTAGGCCGGAAGTCTGAACATGGGTTTTACGGGGATAAAATCAAGGATGCCTTTCCTCTGGAGGCTCTAGGGGCGAATCATTTCTTGCCTTTTCCAAGCTTCTAGAGGCTTCTATGTTCCTGGCATGTGGCCTCTTTTGTCTTAGAAGCCAGCAGTGTGACATCTTCCAGTGTGTCTGTGACTCACATTCTTGTCTTCCTCTTACAAGGGTCTTAGTATTGAGCCCACCTAAATAATCCAGTATAATCTTACCATCTCAGGATCCTTAGTCACGTCTGTAAAGTCCCTTCTGTCGCGTACAATAACATATTTACAGGTTTCAGGAATTAGGGTATGGGTACCTTTGGGTGGCATTATTATGCCTACCTTATGGGTCAACAGTAGAACAAATACGTGAAGATATTTTCATATAATGTAACATTTACAGTAGGGAAAATGAGTGTGCTACTACAGAACTCAGTATTTCGGGTAGATGTCAAAATAAAATGTTAACAAAAGCACATCACAAAATAATTCCCAGAATAGATTCCATTAGTATTAAAGTTCAGAAACAACCCTCTAAGTATATTGTTTCAGGATATATCACATGTGATGAAATCACAAAGAAAAATAATGAAAATAAGATATTTTACCTCCAGGTGCAGGGAATGGATGTAATTAGAAAGGGACTTAAAATAGCCATATTTCTCTTTTTAAAAATTTTGGTGATAGGTTTTTGTCTTACTAGTTGTCTTTAAGAGTTAGAAATAAGTACGTGATAATTTTGTTTACCTTACCCCAGCCCCTACCACAATTTAAACATCTTTAAAAAATAAACTGTGGTGGTTTACTGACTAAAAATCAACAATTTAAGAAAAATTTATACGAAAGAGCAATATCTGGATAAAATATTTTCAAAACAGAAAGTTTTTGGTTCTTATTTCTACCCCTACCCTATCCCCATTACTTAGAATTTGAGGTTTTATAAATAGTAGGCTCGAGAAATGGAATGAAATTCAGTAGAGTTGCTGACAGGATCTTAGTAACCAGGATAGTAAAGCGTATGGAATTCTAGAGCTAAAATTCTTGTTAATGATCCATTGTTCTTTAAAGAGGATATACCTCTGACTCTTTATGTTGTAGAGGGTTTGGGGCCATGTTTACAGTCTTAGGGTAAAAACCCTGAGAAAGAAACAACTAGGAAGTTCTGGTTTCAGTGTTCTGGTCATTCTTTGCATAGATTCCTCCAGTGGATCATGTGAATGATCTTTAAAAGGCTGGGTCCCCTTTTTGCTTAAAATTTTAACTTTAATTGAGATAATTGTAGATTCCATGCAGTTGTAAGCAGTAATACAAAGAAATGGCACCTATGCTTTATCTAGTTTTCCCCAGTGGTAACATTTTGTAAACGTACAGTGCAGTATTATCTGCTGTCTTCGGATGCCCCCTTGTCTCGTTTGTATGTGTATGCATTCTGTTCACTTATATCACACGTTCAGGTTTGTGTATCCACCACCATAATCAGGATACTGAATAATTTCATCACCACAAAGATCCTTCCTCTTGCTCTTTTATAACCACACTTAACCTCCTGTCCACCCTATGCCTGCCCTCCAGCTCCTTCCTAGGTCTTTAACCTGGCAGCCAATCTGTTTTCCGTTTCTAAACTGTTGTAGAAATGAAACCACAGAGTATGTAACCTTTTGGGTTGGCTTTTTTCACTCAGCCTGATTCCCTGAAGGGGACGTGGATGTCAGTGAGTCCCGTTTTTAAATTTAGCTGAAGAATGTTCAATGGAAGATTTGAATTCTGAACTCCTTTTGTAAATGTCAGTTTCTGTTGCGTTAATGTATAATTTTGAGTAGTAGATAAAACATGAATTTTAAGTGTGACTGACTTAGGACTAAGTCTCATTGCAACTTCGGAAAAATTATTTTAACCACACTAAGCTTAATACTTGTGTGTAAAATGAGGATAATGCCTATCTCATAGAAGATTTAAAAAACAAATGAGGTAAGATGTAACGTTCTCAGCACCATGCCTATGGCATAAGGGTTCCATAAATGGCAGTGGAAAACAAAGATCGGGCTTCTATAGCAATATTGTTGCAGTCTGTGACCTAGATTAATCTTGGAAGAAATTGCCTTAGCATTCCAGCTACTTGTTGGAATTCATACATACTTAGGGAAGGGAAGGAACATTTAATATATTTCTCTTTGGCCATTAAATAGTAATGCTTAGTTCTTCAGAATAGATGTATCTCACCCTTCTATTGTGTTTTAGTTAATTGGCCACAGTAAAAAGTAAATGATTGCTTTAATGTTTTGGATCTCAATCAGCGAAGACTAGTTACCTTGAATTTAATAGATTATCTTTTTTATATAATATTACAGATTTGTTTAAGGTTGGAATATCAGTAATTCACATAGTTTAGATTTTATGTATGTATATGTATTCTTCCCCTCCACAGGTCACCGGTGTCCTGGATGATTGCTTGTGTGATATTGATAGCATCGATAACTTTAACACCTTCAAAATCTTCCCCAAAATAAAAAAATTGCAAGAGAGAGACTACTTCCGTTATTACAAGGTACAGTTACAATTTTTGATTCGTTGGTAGCAAAGGTTTTTACATAGCTGTCTATAGATGTGGCTTTTATGACCCTCTCGAAAGCCCATTTTGACTTTCTCGCGCCCTCTGTGTGTTTCATCATTGGAACGTATTAAGTATTGTGGTGAAACCTGAAAGTCTTTTTGAACAGGAAGAACCTGAACCCTCTTCCTGTGTTTGGGGAATTCCTCATCTTTCAGTTCGGGTTTTGAGGCAGAGACTCCTTCCACGGAAGCTGAAAATGCCACAGACTTACTTTGTCCGCCCTCCTTGTAATTTCGGCGCTGCCATGGAGACACGTACCCGGTTCTGTGCCATGCCCATGACCATGGCCTGTGTTAGCCATGTTAGCAGTACAAAGTACCACCGTGGCAGACGCTCCCTGGGGAGCTTGCTGGAGGGCTGGCCGCCCAGGTTGAGCGTACAAGCACCGTTCACAGTAATGCTGCACAATTGTTCTCACATCTGACAGTCGTCTCCTCTAGACCTTTACAAAATAACCAGTAACAGTTAAAAAAAAATTTTTTTAATGTTTTATTTATTTCTAGGAGAGAGAGAGAGAGAGAGAGTGAGTAGGGGAGGGTCAGAGAGAGAGGGAGTCACAGACTGAAATAGGCTCCAGGCTCTGAGCTGGCAGTCAGCACAGAGCCCGACGCGGGGCTCGAACCCACGAACCGCGAGATCATGACCTAAGCGAAAGTCGGATGCTTAACCGACTAAGCCACCCAGGAGCCCCAACCGGTAACAGTTTAAAGGGAGCAACAATAAGGCACATTCAAAAGAACAGCATTTTATATTCGAGAACAGTGTTTTATTTTTCTTATTTATTTTTTATAGTTTTTTTGTTTTTTGTTTTGTTTTTTTCTTTTAATGTTTAAAATGGAGAGACAGACAGAGTGTGAGTGGGGAAGGTGCAGAGACAGAGGGACACACAGATTCCAAAGCCTGAAGGCTCTGAGCTGTCAGCACAGAGCCTAATGTGAGGCTTGAACTCAAGAACTTCACAAGTCTTGACTTGAGGCAAAGTTGAATGCTTAACCACCTGGGCCACCCAGGTGCCCCTAAAACACCGTTTTAAAAGCTGCTGTTCTGTTTTGCCTGTGCTCTTGGGCTCAGTATTTAATTGGGTTCATAAGTTCTCTGAACAACTAAACAATTCTAAACTAAACAATTCTATTTGCACAAATATAAGGAAGTGATTGTTTCTCAAAGGAATATTAGAAGATGTTACAGAAGAAAGAAAAATGAAAGTTGGATAGGCAAAAAGAACAATGTTCTAAAAAAATGTTCAAACCAATTTAACGAAATTACTCCATGTATAATGGGAATATACTCCTGTTCTCCCAAGGGAGGGTAAAGCAGTGATCTAGTTAATGGATTTGTCTCTGTGTCAAGAATATTCAGTGATACCTACTCCTTTTCTAGTTCTGTCAACCTATGAATTAAACAAAAGGGACATTTAATCACCACCAGAGTACTGTACGTGCAGCAGTGGCAGAAAGGAAGGCTAAGAGAAGAGGTAAATTTTAAGCATGCACATACATACTGATGATGGAGCAAGCAAGGATGTGCAGGTAGAACCCCCAGTCTGCAGGTCAGCTGGCTGCTGTTGGTATTTACGATTTCTGGTACTACCCGTTCCATTCCTTTAGTCACTGAGTATTTATTGAATGATTGCTCTGTGAGAGGCCCTGTTCTAAGTGTTGTGGATACAGTAGTCAATAACACAAAGACTCTGACTTCATGAAGCTTTTATTCTGATTAGGAAGTGAAACAATAAACAATGAAATATAATTTCATATGGTTGTAAGGTAAGTGCTATGGAGAAAAATAAAGTAGGAGATAAAGAGTAATTAATGGGGTGGGGAAGGTAGATAGCTTTACCTTTGAAGAGAATGATCAGGAAAGGAAGGTATTCATACTGTACAATTTGAATGAAGACCTACATAACGTGAAAACCATGACGAGACATGGGGAAAGAACATTCCCGGGAAGGGGAGGAGAACTGCGGGTGTAAAAGTCTTGAAGGCAGGTATAAAGGTTTAGAGTGTTTGAGGAATAAGAAGACGGGTATAGGCTGGAGCAAAGTGAGTGAGATGGAGAGTTGGAAAAATGAATAGGGGCCAGATTAAAAAAAAAAAAGTTGGCCTTATTCACTACATAAGGATGTTGAATTTTAGTGTAGATGTGATCAGCTTCCGGAAGGATTTGTACAAAATAGACTGTAAGGGTGTGAGACAGGAAATAGACCGTGTAGGAGGCTTCTGTGTGAGACCAGATAGAAGGTGACAGGGGTTTGGAATAGGGCAGGAAAGGTGAAACAGGTGAAAAGTGAGCAGATGAGCATGGTATCTAAGAGGTAACACCAAAAACTTGCCTGATGTAGTGAATGTAAGCTGTGAAGGTAGATGTGACATCAGAGATGAGGCTAAGTTGTGAGCCTATTATAAAAAAGTCTGTCCTGCCCAAGTTCATCTTATTCTAAGAATGCAGGGACAAGGCTTTTAGGTCTTCAGCACAGTTCAGCACATGTTCTTGATTTTTTAAAAATAGGAATAATGGGTACTTCCTTAACATGAACATTTTAATCCTAACATGAACATTGCCAGCATCTTCCTTGTTGGGAAATAGTAGAAATTTCCCACTTAGGTGAGGGACCAAGACAAAGGCACCCTTATCTCCTTTACTGTTGGGAGGGATTAGTATATCAAAACAACCAGAGGATAAACATTTTTTAAGAATAAGGAAAACTATCTCCGTTTGTAAATGACAGAAGTTACTAGAAAGCTCAAGTAATAAAATTTTAAAAAGATAAAAAATGCATTAAGATTGCAGACTGTAAAGTTAATGTACAAAAGTCAGTGTCTTCATAAATATAAACAGTAACAGGTTAGAGGGAATGATGGAAAAGAAATCCCCATTTACATTAGCAATGAAAAAAGATGAAATATGTAGTAGTAAATGAGTCAGAAAAATGTGCAAGACCTAGAGGAGGAAAGCCTCAAAACCCTACTGAGAGACCCAAAAGTAGGCTTTAAGAAATGGACAGGTGTCTCTGTAGCCTAAAGAATGTCCATTGGCGTATACATTCAATACGATCCTAGTAAAAGGACCAGTAGCTTTTTCCTGGAGCTGGACAACTGGTCGCAGCCTCAGTTCTCTGGGAAGCAGATTCTGAGACCGTGGTTAGTGTGCAGGAGGTTACTGAGGGACGGCTTGTGGAAGCGATGGCTCAGGGAAGGATCGGATGGAGGGGGAGGTAAAGCTGAGGGAGTCAGCCTCCGTGGAATCCTCAGGTGACCCTCTGGGAGCCCTGGAGATGGGATGGCCCCCCCAGAGCTGTTCCCACTTGCCGGAGAGGCCTAGGCCTCTGCAGCCCTCCGTCAGTCATTTGAAGGCCCCCGTTGGAAGGCGTGGTGTGATCTTGTGCGAAGCGGCTGTCTTCTGCTGAAGCTGGCTGCTTGCAGCGCTTCTGGAAGTCGGGGCAATAAACCTTCTTGAAGGGTGACATGAGCAGCATGCTCCAGTGTCCACCATAGTCTACTCCTTGCTCTGTGTTACTGGTTTTCTGTTGCTGCATGACACATGTGTCTAAAATGTAGCAATTTAAAGCAGCATACTGAGAACCTGGGGCTTGGGGGAGACCTAAAGAGAGAAGGAAAGCATGGCACGCTCCACGCGGGGGTAAGAGCGGGAGCAAAGGCCCTGACACTATGGTGTGTCTCATGTATCCGAGGAACATCGTGGAAGCCAGGGAACAAGGGCAGAGAGCAGACGGACCAGACCATGTGAGGCGTTCCTGGCCATTAGAGGGACTCGGGTTTTGAACTAACCCAGTTTTTAGAGGTATTGGTTGTGGAGTGAGAAACCAAGGAGTCAACGGTGATGCCAGGATTTTGGCCTGCAGATCAATGGGTTGCTGTTTCCTGAGATGGCAAGAGGAATGTCCTGTGGACAGATCAGAGAGACGTTGGGCACGTACGCTAGCAGTGCAGGCAGCCTGCAGTTCCCAAACGAGGCTGTCCTCAGACATCCTGATCCCTCTGCCTGGGACTCTCCTCCTCCAGGGAACCTGTATCCCAGTCCTCCCCGCCGTACGTGTGACTGGAAGGAGGCCTCCCCTGACGCCACAGTCAGAGGGGCCCGCGCTCCTTGTGTTGCCAGCCTCCATGTGTTTTTGCGTCTTCCTCTGGGACGTGGCTAATACTAACTTCATTTAATGCCTATTTATTGAGCTGTCTATTAAATATCTGAGGCACTGGGGATAAAGTAACGAATAAGGCAAAATCTCAGTCCTTACAGTAGGAGATGCAGACCATCAGTACATGAGGAACAGACAGTGGTGAGTGCTATAAAAGAATATAAAACAATGTGTGGGGTGCATATTGAGTGCTACTTCAGAGAGTCCGGTCAAGGATTATCTCTGGCCAGGTAGTACCCGAGAGGGGCCTGGCAGAGGTGAGGGGAGCGGGCCGTGAGACCTGAGGAGCGACAGCCCCGGCAAAGAGAAGCCGCTGTCAAGGAGCAGAGACCAGGAGCTGGGTCCGTCCCACGCAAGAGGGCCAGCATGGCTGGAGGTAGGTGGGCGGGAGACTGGGTGAGCGAGGGCCTGGTGGCACTTGCTGCCGAGCTGGGAGTCCTTCTGAAGGTGCCGGGGAGCCACCCGCAGATTTTGAGCAGGGATCGGTACCGTCTGAATTATGTTTCAGACAGCTCACTCTGGCTGCTCTGTAGTAGAAGCAAGGAGCATGGGTAGTCGTGGGATTTTGTCTCCCTCTCCCTCTCAAAATAAACAAACTTAAAAAAAAAAAAAAGCTGTGGAGGTGGTGGGAAGAAGTGGATAATGAATTGTGTGCGGAGGTAGGAGAGGGAAGAAATAAGAATAAAACTTTGATTTTTGGCTCGGGCAACCCATCTGGCAGTCCTGTTGAATCACGCTCTTCTGTCAAATTCAAAATAAGAAAATCCAGAGTTTTTAATGACATGGTTAAAATGGTCTGTTCCTTTCCTATGTCTACCCTCATTCTCCCACTAAAAGTGGTTAAGTTGTGTGTGTGTTTCAGTTCCCACAACTGTTCAAGCTATATCACCTTATCCACATGCACCATTCTTCCAACTTTGGTCCATCCTAAGATACAACCTCCTCAGAGCCTGTCATCAACCAGCCCCATTATTTTCCATCATGAAACTCTGGATTTTTGTTTGTAATTAAACATGTCACTCCCTCCAGTAGACTCTCCCATTCCAGGAGAAAAGTGCTTTTTGCATCTCTTTTTGCTCTCAGATTTCCACGGTGCCAGACAGATAGTGGGTGTTTGGTGCACGTTTAAGTGGCCGGGTGCACGAGCGAACCCTCATAAGTAAAGTAACAGCTTGGTGCGAGAGACGTGAATGTGGTCGTAAAATGCTTTCCAAGGTCTGCAGATGAGCAGTGTACTTGGACTTGATTCCTTTTGGGAAGTGTCAGAGGACTAATAACAGTTATTTTTTAAATTAATATTACACCTGGGTGTCTGAAAACCTGCAGTCATTAAGATTTTCAACTCTACAAATGACATGGGATAGGAAGCTTTTTCTTCTTACTCACCAGCACGTCACTGGCGCCCACACAATGACACTTAGAGAGCTTGCAAACTGTGCCACACATTTCCTAATGTTAATCCAATCTTTCTCTCAAGGTTAATCTGAAGCGACCATGTCCTTTCTGGGCAGAAGATGGCCATTGTTCAATAAAAGACTGTCATGTGGAGCCCTGTCCAGAGGTAAAATAAATTATAAAAACATTAGTAGGGAAAACGTTGCTTTCTCTTGGGCTTTTAGACAAGCATGAATTTTATATTTTATTGATGGATATAAACTTGTCATCAAATTCATAAACTGTCAGGCCTCTCCTTTTTAAATATTTTATTTATTTATTTTGAGAGGGGGCGTGAACAGGGGAGAGGAAGAGAGAATCCTAAGCATGCTCCATGCTCCGCACAGAGCCCAACATGGGGCTCGATCTCACAACCCTGGGATCATGACCTGAGCTGAAATCAAGAGTTGGGCGTTTAATTGGCTAAACCACCCAGGTGCCCCTGGCTCTCTCTTTTTTAGTGAAATTATTAAAGATTTTGTACTCCTTACCAAAATGGGTTTGAAGACCCATGTATGCAGTAGTATTGATGATTGGATGTGGAAGTATAGTATGATTCTAAAGCAGATGGAAAATCAGGGGCCTATTCTAGGATTGGATCTACAATGACTCTTATTTCATGCTTTATTGAACACGCATTTTGTTTCATAAAAAAAGTAATGGTACCAGGGGCACCTGGGTGGCTCAGTCAGCTGAACATCCAACTCTTGATTTCAGCTCAGGTCATGATCCCAGGGTCATGGGATCCAGCCCTGCTGAGCGTGAAGCCTGCTTAAGATTGTGCCTGTCTCTCTCTCTTCTTCTCCTCTCTTACTCTCGCTCTCCCCCCCCCCCGCTCCCCTTTCCTCCCAACTCCGTTTCCCCTTGTCTCATATTTTCTCTCTCTCTCTCTCTCTCCCAAATAAAAAGAAAAGTAATGCTACTGGACCTTCAATTTCACATTTAGGGTAGGAATTACCATGGGTAAAGTGGGAGAATCACAGGTTTGGTATGAGGTTTGCACTTGGTCTTGTTACATTAAAAAAAAAAAAAAAAAAGCTATACTTCTATTTTAGACTTTGTTTTTTGACATCTAGCACAATTAATTCTTCTTAAACATTAATTAGTTATGAGCTACGTTTTTATTTCACTTTTTGCTTTTCTCACCTAATCAGTTAGTCTAGTTTGTTATCCTTAAAAATAGGGGGGAAAAGACTATCTAAAGCAATGTCCTTCCTAAAGGGACAATTTAATTTTCTCTCTTTCCTTTAAGAATAAGATATTTTTTTAATTTCTTAGTTTGAAATAATTTCAGACCTACAGAAGAATTAATTACAGGAATAATGCTAGCAGTCCTCATATACTTTTTATTCAGATTCCCTAAATGTTTTCATGTTTGTTTCATTATTCTCTCTATACACATGTTAATATTTTCTGAACCATTTGGGTATAAGTTACCAACATGGTGATCCTTTGCCCCTAAATACTTGAGTGCGTATTTCCATAAAAACAAGATTATTCTCCTACCTACCCACAACATAATGAACAAAATCAGGAAGTTAACATTAGTTATAATACTGACACCTAATCTATAGACCTTGCAGCTGATTTAATAATGTGCTATGTAGCTAAAAAAGTGTTAAAATATAGTGTTATATTCATTTCAGGTGTACAAAATAGTGATCCACCAGTTCCATATATTACTCAGTGTTCATCAAGATAGTGTACTCTTTTTTTTTTTAATGTTTTATTTATTTCTAGGAGAGAGAGAGAGAGACAGCGTGAGTAAGGGAGGGTCAGAGAGAGAGGGAGTCACAGACTGAAACAGCCTCCAGGCTCTGAGCTGGCAGTCAGCACAGAGCCCGACGCGGGGCTCGAACCCACGAACCGCGAGATCATGACCTAAGCGAAAGTCGGACACTTAACCGACTAAGCCACCCAGGCGCCCCAAGATAGTGTACTCTTAATCCCCTTCTTCTAGTTCAGGCCTTCCTCCGCACCTCCCTTCTGGTAACCATCAGTTTGTTCTCTATAGTTAAGAGTTTGTTTTTTGGTTTGTCTCTCTCTTTTTGGTTCTTTTGTTTTGCTTTGCTTTCTTAAAATCCACATATGAGTGAAATCCTATGGTAATTGTGTTTCTCTGTCTTATTTCCCTTAGCATTATACTTTCTAGATCCATCCATGTTGTTGCAAATGGCAAGATTTCATTCTTTTTTTATGGCTGAATGATAATTCCATTGTATGTGTATGCCACATCTTCAGTAATCTACCGATGGACACTTGGGCTGCTTCCATAGTTTGGATATTGTAAATAATGCTGGAATATATAGGGGTGCATACATCCCTTCAAATTAGTGTTTTTATATTCTTTGCTTAAATACCTACTGGTGCAATTCCTAGATTGTAGGGTAGTTCTATTTTTTATTTTTCAAGGAAACTTCTTGTTGTCTTCCACAGAGGCTGCACCAGTTTGCGTTTCTATCAATAGTGCACAAAGGTTTCTTTTGTTTCCACATCCTTGCCAACACCTGTTGTTTCTTGAGTTTTTGAGTTGAACTGTTCTAACAGGTGTCAGGTGATAACGTTATTGTAGTTTTGATTTGAATTTCCCTGATGTGAATGATGTGGAACATCTTTTCATGTGTTGGCTATCTAGATGTCTTCTTTGGAGAGATGTCTGTTTGGATTATTTGGATTTTTTTTTTTTTTTTGGTGTTGGGTCGTATAAGTTTTTTATATAATTTGGATGGTAATCCTTTATCGGATATGTCAGTTGGAAATGTCTTCTCCCAATCAGTAGTTTTTCTTTTAGTTTTGTTGGTTGTTTCCTTTGCTGTGCAGAAGCTTTTTATTTTGATGAACCCCTAAGAGCTTATTTTTTCTTTGGTTTCTCTTGCCTCAGGAGAAAGATCTAGAAAGATACTGTTATGGCCAGTGTCAGAAAAAGTACTACCTGTGCTCTTCTAGGATTTTTATGGTTTCAGGTCTCATACTTACGTCCTTAATCCATTTTGAGTTTTTGTGTACAGTGTTAAGAAAGTGGCCCAGTTTCCTTCTCTTGCATGTAGCTGTGCAGTTTTCCCAGTACCATTTGTTTAAGAGATACTCTCTTTTCCTCCATTGCATCTTCTTGACTCCTTTGTCAAAGATTAACATAACAATTACAAAGATTAACAATAATATTGTGGGTTTATTTCTGTGCTTTCTGTTCTGTTCTGTTGGTCTGTGTGTCTGTTTTTGTACAAGTACCATATTGTTTTGTTTTTTTTTTTTTTTTTTTTTTTTTTTTTTTACAAATAGTTTATTGTCAAATTAGTTTGTACATAACACTCAGTGCTCATCCCCAAAGTGCCCTCCTTCATGCCNTGTACATAACACTCAGTGCTCATCCCCAAAGTGCCCTCCTTCATGCCCATCCCCCCCTCCCCCCCACATCCATCAGTCCTCAGTTTTTGTCAGCAGTACCATATTGTTTTGATTAGTATAGATTTGTAATGTAACTTGAAATCTGGAATAGTTCAGGTTTTTATTTTCTTTTTCAAGATTGCTTGGCTATTCAGGGTCTTTTGTGGTTCCATGCAAATTTTAGGATTATTTTTTCTAGTTCCATGAAAAATGCTGTTAGCATTTTGATAGGAATTGCATTAAACATGTAGATTCCTTCAAAAAGAAGGAAATCTTGCCATTTGCAACTACGTGGATGGAACTAAAGGGTATCCTGCTAAGCGAAATTAGTCAGAGAAAGACATATCCTCTGACTTCACTCCTATGAGGACTTTAAGATACAAAACAGATGAACATAAGGAAAGGGAAGCAAAAATAATATAAAAACAGGGAAGGGAAGAAAAACATAAGATACTTAAATATGGAGAACAAACGGTTACTGGAGGGGTTGTGGGAGGGGGGATGGGCTAACCAGGTAAGGGGCATTAAGGAATCTACTCTTGAGATCACTGTTGCACTATATGCTAATTAACTTGGATGCAAATTTTAAAAATTGAATTAAAAAAATGCACACTGATTTATATGTGTGCTCACAGGTATGGCAGCGAATTAAAATATGATAGTAAGTGGGAAAGGTTCATGGTTTTCTGAACGTGATTATAAATAAGGGATTTCATGACCAAGTTGCTCTGTGTTAATAGCCATGTCTCTCCTCATTACACCCATGTAATGGGGTCACTCTATCGGAGGCAAACATAGGAAATTAGCATTGGTTTTGCACAGCTTAATAAAATTGGCATCAAAATCCCCAAAAATATTTTCGAGGAAGTATAATGAAATCTAAAAAAAATATGTAGATTGCTTTGGGTATGTCGACATTTTAACAATATTTGTTCTTCTAATCCATGAACATGGAATGTCTTTCCATTTCTTTGTGTCTTCTTCAGTTTCTCTCATCAGTGTTTTATAGTTTTCTGAATACAGGTCTTCCACTTTTTTGCTTAAGTTCATTTCTAGCTATTATTTTTGGTGCAGTTCTGAATGGTATTGTTTTCACAGTTTCTCTTTCTGTTGTTTCCTTATTGGTGTATACAAATGCAACAGATTTTTGCACATTGATTTTATGTCCTGAAACTTTACTGAATTCATTTTTCAGGTCTAGTTGTTTTTTGGTAGAGTCTTTAGAGTTTTCTCTATATAAATAGTGTCATGTCATTTGCTGATAGTGAAAGTTTGACTTCTTCCTTACCAGTTTGGATACTTTTTTTCCTTTTTGTTGTCTGATTCCTTTCTGTGGCTAGAACTTCCACTACTATGTTGAATAAAAATAGTGTGAATGGATATCCTTGTCCTGTTCCTGACCTAGGGAAAAAAAACCTCTCCGTTTTCCCCCATGGATATAATGTCAGCTGTGGGTTTTCCATATGAGGTCTTTATTATGTTGAGGTATGTTTCCACTTTGTTGAGGGTTATTTATCATGAATGGATGTTGTACTTTGTTGGATGTTGTTTGTACATCTATTGAAATGATCGTATGGTTCTTTTACTTTCATTGATGTGGTGTATCACATTGATTGATTTGCAAATATTGAGCCACCCTTTGCATCCCAGGAATAAATCCCACTTGATCGTGGTGGATGATTTTTTTTAATGGGTTGTTGGATTTGGTTTGCTAGTATTTTGTTGAGGATTTTTGCATCCAAG